TTTTACATTAACTGATGGTGCTATCTCTTGAAAAAGTGCTAACAGACTCTAGTGGCATCTTCTACTATGCAAGGTGAATTTGTGGCATGTTATGGGGCTACAGTCCAAGCCGTTTGGTTAAGAAATTTCATCTCTGGCTTGAAAGTTGTTGATTCCATCTCAAGACCGATCACCATCTACTGTGATAACAGTGCAGCAGTATTCTTTTCAAAGAATAATAAAAGTTCTGGTGGATCAAAACATATTAACATCAAATATTTGGTTGTTAGAGACAGAGTCAAAGAAGGGCAGACGAAAATAGAGCATATCAATACAGAGGCGATGGTTGCAGATCCCTTGACTAAGGGACTCGCTCCAAAAGTCTTTAAGACAGATGTTACTAATATGGGTATTGTGGAAATATTTGATATTTTATTTGGTGCTAAATTCATACCACATACTACCACATTGGTTGGAGGATGGGGATCTATATCGATAAGGATGTTGACATTTGTAGCTGTGGAATGGTCTTACATCTCTTAAATTGGTGTAATGACTTCCATGTTCGGTGTTAATATCCTTGTTGGATTGGATCATGTTACGTAAGGTGTCATCATTAGAACTATACTTTTGTGGCCACTTATGTAGTCTAACCCGGGTGTTAAAACTTTGTTATGACAATCAAATGTTTGCCCAAGTGGGAGAATGTTGGAATAATTAATTATTTCATATGTGGGCTTCACATTGGATTGCAAATTTTACGGGTTAGATGTATGGCTCATAATGATATTTGTGTTTGGGCCAAATTTATTAAGTGATCAATTGAGCCTTTTACACCTTACGGGTTGTAATTAATTTGATGTGGTAATTTAAAGTATGTGGGTCGGAAATAAACCCTAATTAGAATTCTAGTCGTAATGGGACAGCTCAATTATTTCCTATATAAAGGCTAGGTCCCCTCTCCTCTCCATATGTGTTTTCATTAGCTTGCCCCATTGATAGCTAATACTTTTGTGAGGAGAAAGGAGGGGAAGATCTTGTCTACTATTACAACTATAATTCATATCAACAATGGCTTCCGCAGGTATGAATTTGGTTTATTAATTTATTATTTGGTGATTCTTGATTCTTAGCATGATTGAAAATTTAATATTAACAATTTGAACTTCCTTAGCAATGAAGGTATAATAAACTGGGCATGATTAATTGTACAATTAACAAAGGTCTCAAGATAAAACCTAAGGAATGAGACGAGTGGTAGATCGGTCAACCAAATCCAAAGAGAAATTATGTAATACCTTGTCTAATTAATTTAGAGCATCGTTGGTTTAGATTAAAATTTGATTTTAATTTAAATCAAAGTCGAACAATTAATATTAACTCCATCTTTCGTGGGTCCTACAATTTGTCAATCATAAATTTCAAAAACTTCTATCACAATTTACCAAAAAATCTAATTTTAATCCCATCAAACATCCACTTAGTCAAACTTAGAATTGAGTCAACTATGTCAAGCCGTTAAAAAGAGAGAGAAAGGGAAAAGGCCAAAAAAAAAAAAAAAAATTAAAAATGGTCAGATAGTGGATTTGATTAACTATCTATATCAATCCTATTCATTTGCAAACCCATCCATTTTCACACAAGAGTTATGATTCACGTACAGGTAAGCCTCTACCAGGACAGACACAAAGTCTAAGGCCCGCACCAATTCTTTTTTTTAATGCAGGTCGAACCCATCGACCTCCCTTCTATGGTGAGGGACCTTACAGGCCCTGTATGAATGGTGTCCTGTACTCAGGGCATTATTCTTCACACAAAATATATACACACGGACAAAGAGAACAGTAGGGAGAAAAGAAGAAAAAGAAAAAGAAGAAAAAGAAGAAGAGAAAAAAGAAAAGGAAGTGCAAGAGCTAATACTAGATTCAACTTAGAAGAATTAATCCTTGTTTTAGCTAAGAAGAAGAAAATAATTTTGTGGTAGAATTAGACTAATTGTGTGTTTTTTAACTTCCAAGAATTAGAAAATTTAATTAGACATCCCATATGTAGGAATTTTAAACATGACATGAAGGATTTATAAGTGAAGTCAAGTTATTTATAATTGATAAGATGATTAATTTTACTTCAATTTAATTGTTCAACTAGGATATAAAATCAGCCAAGTGGAATTATAGAAAGCTAGTCTGGGGTTTTATAGTCATGGAACTGAACTATGTTTGTTGAATTGTATTGGAGTGAGGAGAAAACACGTGGATTAGGAACTGCAAGAAGAAGGAAGAAAAAAAAAGGCAAGTACAGAAATAGAATTGATGGAATAAGTATATGTAATATGCTTTATAATTGGTAGAAAAGGCAATGAAATTGACTTAAATTGAACATGTAGTAAATGAAAACACACGTTCCCTGTCATTTTATTGTTAATTTGGAACCAATATGGTAACTTATATATATATATACATTGGCAAATGATATATAGGCAAAACAATTGATGGAATTTAGCAAGTAAATGAAAATAGATTACTAAGAGAAGCGAAATGGCTATCTTGTTATTTTTATTATAATTGTGAATTGAATTATGATCCGAATAAATTTATTATTATATCAAAGGTGACGAAGAGATCGAGACAGCTTATCAGTTGAACTAATTGCCACGTAAATAGCTTGTGAGTGGAAAAGTTTAAATATTTTCAAGTATTGATAAATTAATTACACCATTACATTATGTGCAATTATATGTTCGATTATATGATTATTATGGAAAATTTCTTTTACTATGATACATGTGAAATTTCAAAAATTGTATATGTTACATTTGTGAATTGAAATGTGAGACATATGTGAGTGTTTAGTCTGAGGGACAGTCTATGTGCATATGCCTAAATTACAGATTTCAGTCAGATGGTATATTTTTTGTGAATTTTCTAGTACAATTGATGTGATGAGACGATGGTTTAGATTTCAGTTGATGATTATATCATGATTATGAGATGATATTTTTCACGTTATGAGGATGTGTCACATCTTAATTATTATTATTTGTTGTTATACTTTGGACTGTTAAATTATGTAAATTCGGTTTTCGATAAAAATGTATAAATGAAAAAGTATAATTATTTTCGAACTTCTCCACTCACTGAACCATCAACTCGTATATTTTTCCCACAATTTTTCTTATCAGCTAGCAGTGAAGTTTCTGGGTATTTTTTGGAGTTGGACATTTGATTTTGGAGTCAGAGCCACACGACAGAGTTTGCTAGTATGATTCATTTTATAGAGCATGTAGTCGGCGTTTTAGGACACGTTCATTTTTTGATGTGATTTTGCATCATTTGTGGATAGCTATTGGGATTACTATGTATTTTGCATATATATATATATATATATATATATATATATATATTTCATGTATTTTGTTGTAAAATTTGAGAATTCAGCTTATCTTTATTGTGTTGTATTATTATTGGGATTTGTACATAGCAGATTACAGATTGGTTGGTCCTATTTTCAGAGGAAATAATGTCGAAATTGTATTAAAAATAATTTATAAAAAATCTTATATTGTAATATCCTTGATGGGTATGACTTTTAATGGTATATATCATCGGCACGCGTTATGTTCAGGGTCCAGTAACATTATTTGGAGTGGGATGTGTCAAATTACCTTGTGGAAGACATTTTTGCAGTTGTTCTTAATCAGAAGCACAGGCGCTAACAAGAAAAAAAAAAAATTTATGTTGGAAGATAGATGTCCTATGGAGACAAAGTTATGTGCGTTTTGTCGTCCCCCAGGAATTCTATTCATACGTCATAAAGGGAGGTCCATAATAAAGAGAACCACATCCTAAATGTTCGGCTCAAGTGTGTATAAATTGTAACTGCATTTGAATTTACCTAGATGGCAAACCAGGGGGGAAGGCCACCACTCCTCAAGATTAGTCGGGCGAAGTTCGAATACCTGAGTCATAAAAAAAATAAAGAAAGAAAAACAAAATGTAGCAATTATAATTAACACTTCCACCACAGAAATGATATATAGAGCATTAAAATGAAAGTTAGCACTCACGAGGGGGAGAAGCCGCGCGTGCTGGCTCCGTCGAAATGTTTAGCACTATTCGGTAGCAATCGGCAATAGACGATAGTTGCAGTTGCAGACTTGCAGAGTCGAGATGGAGGATGGAACGAAAGAGATTATTTTTATTTATTTTTGGGCTAAAGTGTTTACATCAGAAGTTGGGCCTCTTTTTTGTTTAGTCCAATTCCCAAATGAATGAATTATTTCTCCTAAAACAACAACAAATGGTCCAAATGACCAAATCGATTCCATTTTGAAACTGAGAGCCTAAAACCGTAAAGGCTAAACTCTTTTCCTCCCTTCTCCAGTCCAGACTCCATTCTATAATTGACATTCGAAAATCGAATAAGAGGCAGTAGCCAGCACCTGCAGCTATCGACACCACGAGAAAGAGGAGTCGGAGCCATCAACGACGTGTTCTGTCGACTGCTGTCTGTCATTTCTGCCATCTAGTCTCAGATTTCGGAATCTTTGAGCTCATGCTGGTGACTGGTTAGCGCAATTCTCTTACTCTTTCTCTCTTTGTTTTGTTTTTATTTTATTTTGTTGACTACTTGACTTGTAATGAATGTTATGATTATTGATTTGGGAATTTATGTCTATGAAATTATGTTTACGAATTATTAATTATGATAAGTAATTTATGTTTTATGATTACTGATTTGAAAATTTATGTTTACGAAATTAAGATAAGTGAGAAAATTTAATTGAGAAAATGTTAGGCTCAATTCAACCTGTGTGTACTCATTACTTAGTACTCTTTTTTTAATCAATTCTAATTGAAAAATAAATTGGGACATTTTACAGATTATAGAAAGATTTTTTCAACTGAAACGAAAGTCTATACCTAGTTCTTCTAGTTCTAGTTGTGCCTCTTGTCCCATCACTGATTCTAGTCGAGCATAAGAGTTATTAAATAACAGAAAAAAGTCCTGAGCTCAATTCAATGTGGATGATCTTGTATTTGATCAGGGAAAGGTCACCTATCCAATCATATGCTCCTAATATTAGAGATGATGTTAGGATAACATACTTAGAGAAAGGTCCTGTCAACCATATAGACATGACTTTCCAAGAAGATCGAGGGGGAATGATAATAGGTGTTTTTGAAAAGAATAGTTCTTTGAATTTTATTGGTTGGAGTACAATATAGAAAATGATGCAGCGTATTGTTTGCATTGCTACTTGTTCAAATCCGATAGAGGGGGTCAAGGGGTGGACATATATTCATTAAAATCGGCTTTAGGGATTGGAAGCACAAAAAGACATTGAAATATCACGTCGGTCTCTTTGATAGTGCTCATAATCAGGTTTTTACGTAGTGTACCAACTTGATGAGTCAAAAGTAGAGCATCTCCTATGTTATTTCTAGCCAAAGTAGTAGTCAATAAAAAAGTTATAGGACGAGGTTGATGCGGTGCTAGATTGTACTAGACTCCTTTTGATGCAAGGATTGTCATTTCGTGGTCATGATGAATCGAAAGAGTCTCTTAATAGAGAAAATTTAATTGAGAGCCCGTTTGAGCCACATTATTTGTAGAATGAGAATGAAAAATAGAGCCGTTATGGGCCCCACACAAGAGATAGAAATTCAAAAATGGTGGCTTGATGTGATGGATAACGATCATATTTTTCATTTTAATGAGGTAAAAATGGGGCTCAAACATGGCCTGAGCTACTAAACTGGTATGTAGCTCATTGCAAGGAGTTATAGAAATAGTATTTAGTAATGCTCCTGGAAATGACCAAATGACTTCACCAAACATCCAAAAAGATTTGGTTAATTGTTGTGTTGTAGAGACGACCAAATGTCACTGATACTTGTGCTCAATCACTGAAGGCCATTGATGCAATATTTTCTACATATGGGTTAAGCATATATAGCCTGAGAGGTCAAGGTTCTGATGGAATAAGTAATATGTCAGGTGAGTTTAATGGCTTGAAAGCTTTAATTCTAAGAGAGAACCCATATGCTATGTATGTTCATTGCTTTGCTCACTAGCTTCAGTTGGCAGTTGTTTTTATGGCACGTAGGAATTGTATGCTTGGTGATTTTTTCAACATTCTTGCCGTTATTCTGAATTTGGTTGGTATATCATGTAAGTGGGCAAATGCTCTTTGAGCAAGTTATCATTATAATAATCTGGAGAAGCTTAATATTGGGGAACTTTCTGGTGGAAGGAGTCAGTTTCAAGAAATGAGTTTGGCACGCTTAGGTGATCCTAGATGGGGCTCACATCTACTGACAATTATCATTTTATTAATATGTTTAATGCTATTATAGACGTTCTTAAGAAAATATCAAAAAATGGCATAAATTCAGATAAAAAATCAATGGCTGTAAGACAAATGGACACTATGTAAGATTTTGAGTTTGTATTCAGTCTCCACTTGATGTTTGAAATTCTTGCAAATATAGACAATCTTTCACAAGCCTTACTGAAAAAGTATCAGGATATTCAAAATACTATGAGGTTATTGAATTTGTATAAGTATGCATTGCAGAACCTGAGAGACAATGGTTGGGATACATTGTTGAGTAGGGTGATTGAGTTTTACGTTGATAGACATATTTTATTGCCCAATATGGAGGATATTGTAATAGTAAAAAGTTAACCTAGGCATGCAGTTCAGTAGGTGACTTATTATCCTCTCTTTTAGGGTGATTTGTATTGTCATGTGATAGACTCAATCTTGCAAAAGTTGAATGATCGTTTTCCAGAAACAATTACTGAGTTCTTTACTTGCATTTCGTGTTTAAGTCCAAAAGATTCATTTGCAGCTTTTGATAAGGCTAAATTGATATGTCTTGCTCAATTATATCATTTGGACTTCAATAATGAAGAACTTTTATTATTTAGACCTCAACTTGACAAGTTTTTTATACTTGTGAGAATGGATGAAGCTTTCTTTAATCTCGATACCATATCTTGTATAACTTAGAAGTTGATTGAAACTAGATTTTTAATATTTTGGATTGTATTGAATTATATTTTTATATGTTTATAATTTTTACGTTTTAGTTCACTTACGTATATATTGAATAAGTTTTAATATTATTTAATCAGATTTTAATAAACGATTGTTCTATTACGATCATTGATTGTCGACGATCAATGATCAACCTTCATCCTAGCTAAATTTTGAAAATTCAGATTTCCAAAAACGAGTACACTGGAAAATTCAAATTTTTATAGTTGCCTTTTTAGGAACTTCCACACCATTTGGGTTGATATGTGTCACCTAACACAATAGTATCACAGGTCAATGGTTTTCTGACAATATATATCTGTGTTTCATAGGTCAGGATATCCTACATGCTGAGTTAGTAATAGAAAAAAGCTGAATTGATTAATTTTCTAAAAAATTAATATATCAAAAAGGACGAGAGTTACGTACTTTAATAGTACGATTCAGCCTTCTTTCACTTAATAGAACTCGAAATTCTTATAAGCATAAGAATATATATTTATGAAATCTGATGCCCCTAGATCCACTTTTTGGAATTAAAAAGAAAAAAAGTTGAGTTCTTTGAATCTCTAGCTGATGTTACAACTATTTGAACTAGTTCAAAGGTTTGATTGATCCTTGGGATTGAATACAACAAGCTATTCATGACACTTGTTTCGAGAGGGTTATGAAGGACTATGTGGTGGCAAGAACATGTAACTGACCAAAGCAAAACCTCTACTTATATCACTTATTCTCTTTCAATTAACAAAATGAGGCGACACGGAGATCTCATGTCCAATCTTGCCAACCAGTATGANTCTACTTATATCACTTATTCTCTTTCAATTAACAAAATGAGGCGACACGGAGATCTCATGTCCAATCTTGCCAACCAGTATGAGACATCGAAAAAGTGTTTTTAAGACCAAATAAACATGTTTTTCGTTTATTTCCCTGTTTATTTTGTGAATGGCTGAGGTACAGATATAAAAACAGAGAATAGGTTTATATTAGCTGATGAAACTTACCACCGAAACTATTTCCTTGATCAATAGCCATAAAAAAAACAAAAAACAAAAAATGTAGACATGGCTTTATATTAAAATCAAAGCACGACTTCATGAACCTAATACATAGTAATGCAAACCAAGCCTAAGAAATATCTCTTCATATATACTTGCAGCCAGTACTCTGTGACTAAATTGGGATATTGATGATGTAAGCCTTCAGAATCTACAGCAAAGAAGACCTGATCTCCAACTCCTGCGCCTTCGAAAATGTCTGCTGTCGGCTTTTGCCATTCTTATGGGACTGCTATTCCATTCAGATTGTAATCTGCAAAGGCGAGAAAAAACCGATCAGCGAATAGCTAAAAATTCCAACATACGAAGAATCAATATCTTAGACGAAAATAAAGTTTACACTGGGAAGGCAAAGGATCGAGCGCTGGCTGCACTGGTATCAGATCGAAGAGAAAGGCTCCCAGAATGTGATATTGGCCCAGAGAAAGTGATAAGACCTGCATTGGAGAAGCTTGACTCTCCCTCATCACATTGGACTTGGTTTATGACTGGAACTCTGTCACATTTCCCATCCTCATCCTTAAAAGCATCATGTGTCTGAATCGCTTCGTCGTGAACATTTTGAGCATTTTTGTCCTTGATGCTAGCTAACTGGACTTGGCCATCTGGAGAAGTAGAGTTCGTGTCGTGGAGGTGGATGGAATGTCCATGAACATTTCCATTGCTTACGAACTTGTTGCCGGTGCACTGATCTGTGCTAGCTTCCAAATGTTTGACGGAATTCATAATCTCAAGATGACATTGGTCATCTGACTTGATGGATTGTGCATCGACATTTTCAGCACATCCATCCGTACTGCCAGCTGCCCTGGGTTTGGGTGAGTTGAAGTTAAAAGTAATACTTCCGCAATCCACTTTACTATTGTATAATAAGTTGCCAGCTTGGACATTCTTATTTGGTTCTGTATTTGTAGACAATGCAGCGTGGCTTCCTGAATTTGCATCTTCAGATGGGATCTGTGAAGCAAACAATTATAATTGCAGTAACTTCAATGACAAAAAGGCATCTCCAGCATGTCTACGCAGTAGTTTTAAGTGTAAGTTTTTATGTCCTAGCTTATAGGCATAAACATGCACTTATAAAATTCTGCAAGCAAACGATACACTTAATTATTTTTGAACGGCTTCTGAACCATATCATTTATCATGCGGCAAACACACGTTTTAAGAAGTTAATCAATAAAAATATGGAACACGAACCTGATCAGGTGTGTGTGTAATTTCATTTCCATCACCATTTAAGGAATTGAGAAAGGATCTAAGGAAACTCCGAGTACCAAATTTCTGCATAGGAAGTTTGCTATCTACAAAAGATTCCGCTTCTGGAACATCTCTCTCAATCTTAGCAAATGCACCATCATTTGGTTCAGAAACGTTCATCGATTCCTCTACATCATATTCCCGAACAGTATCCTTGTCCAAAGAAATTTCTGAGGCAGATTTTGGCACAATTGGTAAATGTGATTTGTCATAGCTAATTTTGGTTCCATAATGATTAATGGCATCGTCTTTGGTATTCTCCAAAGTCAGAGATTTTAAATTGTCTGGAATGAGCATTTCCATATCAATGCCTTCTTTTGCTGTTTTACAATCATCCTTAATGCTTTTGGTCAAAACTT